GTTTGTCTTCTTCCTAATATTAGCTCAGGCCTTCAGGAGAGTTGTCCAGACGCTTAGAGTAGGTGTTTGGCTATTTGGATGACCCTTGCGCCTTTTTCCCTTCCTCGTTTGTGCTCATGACTTAGTCGGACTTTCGGTAGGTACCACTGGTCGTCCAGTCCGGACTTCCGACAGGCACTTTTGTTTGTCTGGAGAATCCTTCTGTTACATTTTCTACCATATTCTTGTGTCTATAATCTTTCACCCTTTTTCGTTTATTCTTTGGCAACTATGATTTATACTTATAAAATGCTACTTGGACCTAAAAATCTGACATAATTTACTAACTTAATGACGTGATTTCATTGAAACTATTGGATAAACACCAAGTTTCAATGTTTAATAGAATCCACAGTTAATCCAAATGTTATATTGAATTAAGTCAGTAAATTAACTCTCAATAGTATTGCTTTTTATACTTATATGTACCCTACATGCATTCACATATTAATATAGTCCCTATGTCTTCTATCTATATTCTTTCACCTTTTTTCTTTTATGCTTGGTCACCTTTTTTCTGTTATTCTTTGTCAACTATGATTTATACTCATATGTACTCCTACAAGCATTCACATATTAATATGAATAATGTTATATGAACTTAAAAAATAGACTTAATAATTATAATTATTGATTTCACTGTGAGTCTCGACACTTATTATAAGTCACTACCTATTCAATAGTTGTGATTATCAAGTCTAATTTATAAGTCTATATAACATTACTCTATTAATATAGTCCTTAGTACTCTATTAATATAGTCCTTAGTCCACATTAAGATATTTGCTATCATCAAAATTACACTTAACAATGGGTCAACAGAGAGGTCTGTCTGTTACGAGTTATAAATGACAAGGAGTTGTCATGTAATAGGATGTCACAATAATTTGACCTAAGATCACATAATCCATTCTGTTTTTACCTTTACTATTTCATTCAAGAGGGATCCCCAAACTTTGACTTTCCAGAATCCAATTTTTTTTTTATCTGATCCACCATCCACTTGCAGCAAATATTTTGGCAGACAAAGCAGACCTAAAGATGTTCCATGGCATAATTGAGGCGACCCACTTTTTTGATAAGCCATAATCCACAGCAAACTACCCCTCATCCCTTTTATCTAGCAAATTATTTACTCTTTTATTTTTTGGATCTGGAGCAAATTATTTACTTGTTTTCACTTTAGCAAACACTAATAGTAAAAAATATCAGCATGCCATTCTTCCGAGACACACACACACACACGCACACGCACACACACACACACATATATATATAGAGAGAGAGAGAGAGAGAGTTCCAATTAAATTTGAGTAACAAAAATGCACAGGGTAAAAGAGACAACCTTTGAATACAGAATGCAGCATATATCACAGACAAAGCACAAGCCATATTTACACAACTAAACACACTTCCACACACACATTCTCACCGTAGAAAACACGACTACAGATTTAGACGCTGATATGGAAAAAGAGTCACATATCACAGGTTGTTAGGAGGAGGAGGGAGCTTGGGTCCAACCCCGACCGCCTTCTCATAAGCATCCGATGTAGACCTCCGTCGAAACCGAAACGATTCTTTCCTACTTGAACCTGAATGTCATCCATAAGTATTGCTCTCCTTAGGCGTGAATTATAATCATTCTTTCGAAACTTAACGACACACGTATATGACAAGGCATGCAAGAATGCTATCGAGATATGTCAGCATAATTTAGCAACACCACATGAACACTGGCAAAAATATACTGAATTCATTTCGCCTACATGCACGGGATGTTATCTTAGAGATAAACCTCAACAAGACATCTAAATTTGTTAAGCTAAATTTGTTGAAAAAATACACATCTATTGTGTTGGTCCTGCACAACATATAATTAACACAAATAATACTTATTGGAAGATAGAAATTCAAATATATGAAAACAATAAAAATATAATAAAGGTATATACCGTGGTTCGATACAACGTACAGTCTCAGTCTCTAGGTTTAAAGGTGCAAGAATCAACCTATGTAGAAGACTCTTATCTTATTCATTCTTTTCTGTCGAGCTTTTGCTCTTTCCTCTGGACCGGGAGAATTTCTACAATTGCCCTACTTTATGAATGCTTCTTCCATGTGATGATAGCCTCTAGGAGCGCCCTTTTATGCCAATGCCAAGTAGGGCTCTCCCCTTTATTGAATAGGGTCTTTAGCCTATTCCTTTTCTTCTTCTTCTAAGGTCGAACAAAGCCCCGACCTTTCAATCCACCCCTCTGCCTGTCACTTCTTTCGGGTTGGGCTTCTTAAGGGGATATAGTCAAAAGAAAGTAAGAGAAAGTGGTGGTCTCCTTAGTATAAGAATCTTTGAATTGATAACTTTCTTCATTTTGATACATTGTATCTATATATACGGATCAAAATCATATCGATGTATTTACTGAAAAATTGGTTATCTGATAACTAATTACATTATACTCTCTCACTCTACTAACCCTCGAAACCACCACTACATTATATTCAACCATATCTATAAAGATAAAATACTATAATCCAATATAATTTGGATACAACCAAATTTCTATTTCCTATCAAATCACTAATAAATCTATTCATAGTTTATTAAACTCTTCTAATTCGTTTCCTATTTCATTCAAGATTCTAATATTGATTACCCAATAAACTCTCATTCTTAACAATTAGAAAATTTGAGTCAAATTTCTTTCGAGTAATGCTACATGAACTTAATAATTAGACTTAATAATTACAACCATTAATTTCATTGTGGGTCTCAGCATTTATTAACATTCACTATCTATTCAATAGTTGTGATTATAAAATCTAATTTTTAAGTTCATGCAGTATTACTCATTTCAATAACGTCCCTTGAACCAAATTCTTTAAATTTGCTCATGCCCAATATAGAACTTAGCCCATTTGATTTTGATCCACCAATCTTTTTGCTTTCCTGAGTCATCAAAATCTTCTCTATCATTCAAGAACTTGCACTTTGGTCTGCATCATTTGTGCATCCCTATACGCACCTTAGCTATACTTGGAAGGTCACAATAGTCAATGTTTCACCATTCAAAAAGTAAAGCCTAATGACTCAACCAATGAGACACTACCTCATCATTACTGAGTTTAAATCAGTCCAATAGCTCTTAAACCATTAGAATAATGTGACTTCAACTCCAATAACCCAAAATCCTAAAAAACTCTATTCAACACAACATATGTGATAATTCTTGAAATCCAAACAACCTAAAAACAACTCAGTCTCCCATTTGGTTTCATACAAATTTTAAATTTTTTCTTATGGATCTAAATACTTTACTAAAAAATTCTAAGATGAAGTTCTTAATATACGCTAGACGAAATCAATATTTACACTACGTCGTACACAAGTGATAGGATAGTTTTTTACAACATGAACACCAGCTTGATCGTTGAATCGTAAACAACTTACTTTGATTGTTCTACAAGGATCATCAATCTAACTTTGATTGTTCTAATAGGAACATCAATTTAACTTTGACACCACTTGCTGGCTATGCATAGCAGATATTTAACACAAATAATACTTGTTGGAAGATATTAATTCAAATATAAAAAAATAATAAAAACATGACACAAATATATAACATGGTTCGATATAACGTACTCACCTTGATACACTATACCTACATACATGAACCAAAAACTTATGTCAAAGTATTATTTATTGAAAAATTGATAACTAATTACATAATATTCAACCCTATTTATAAGGATAAAATACAATCCAATACAATTTGGATACTGCCAAATCTTTATGTTTCCTATCAAATCACTAATAAACCTATTTATGATTTATTAAGATTCATATTGAGGATTCTTTGATTACATAATACATTTTCTTTCATGACAATTAAAGAGTTTTTGTCAAATTCTAACATGTTAGATCCAATTTAATATTGAAACTCACTGTAATCCGTTGTAGCAGAGAATTAATTACCACATCTAGTGAATAACCGCACAAAAACGGGCATAAATATACTGAATCCACTTTGCCTACATGCATGGGATGTTATCAAAGAGAGATAAACCTTAACATGACAGCAAAATTTGTTGAAAATCTCCATTATTGTTCGATAAAACGTATAGTATAAAATATGACAAAGTTCATTCAATGGTTTTAAATAAACTCATTCAACGCCCCCTAACATTCATATCAAAACTAGTGAATAATACTACCATTATTATAAATGGTAACGGAGGATTTATTACCAAATCTAGTGAATAATTTTTAGTTCATATAACATTACTCATTCTGGTATAACATGGTCAGTCTTCCTTCTTTGTATGGATTTATAAAGCTAATAATCTAGGTATTTAAGTACTTACGCCAAATCAAATTTTACTAGATAAACTCCAACAAATGATTAGATTAAAGCCTTTATCATTGATCAATACTATGGAAACTTAATTTATTAACTATTGATTGTGAATCCTATCAAACAATGGAACTCTACTAATTATAATAAAATGAAATCATTAAGTCAACACATTAAGTAGATCTCGATAACATTATTCTTTACCATTTCCTCTGGGAAGGCCTTACCAAAGAATCAGATTTAACAGACTGACATACCTACCACACCTCATCACACCAACCAAAGGACAATAACACCCCCCCCCCCCCCCCCTTTTTCTCTCCCCACAACACCAAACAAACACACAAATAATACAATCTAAAAAGGGTTGAACTCAATTCAACAGATGTTCCAAATATTTGGAATCGCTCACGATTTTGGTGTTATTCAAGGGTCTTGACCAAATATAACCCATTCGGAATCGATTACAATTTGATTCCATTTTCATATTATTCAAGAACCTTGACGCTTTAAGGGGAAAAAAAAAAAAAAGAACCTAGACAAAATATAACCATTACAAAAGATACCCCTTTTACAAAACTGGATCTTACCTTCCGACCAAAAAAAAAAAAAGAACTCTCTCGTTAAAAAACAAATCTAACTCACTCTAAAAACGTAAGCTCTAGAACTGGCAGAATTCCTAATCCTATCTTTCTTTGAAATCAGTCTGAAGCAGGAGAAACTCTATATGAATATAATAACATGGCATTATTTCCTCAGCATACACAGCAGTCGTTGGTTGATAGGAACATATCTGTTTTTTTACGCTTTTTTTAGTGGCAAACTATGTGCATACAAAATCTATCCAATGTCATTTTTTAAGCTAGCAAACAAAGATAAATTGCCTCCAGCTAAAGTTTTGCATAATTTGCATTGCAATATCCGCTCAGAAAATGACATCTTGAAATGCTTAAACTACCCTCCTTACTATTTCAGCGATTCTTTTTAGACTCCGTATTATTCACTTAATTTGAAAAAAATGTTCCTCAAAACGATTATGTCATGTTATTATGTTAGTATAATATAACCGTCTAATAAACAAATGTTGCACTTTAAAAGGCATTTAAGTTATAATCCCTAATATTAATGGCCACACCCCCAATTAACGTCCCATCAAAAGAAAAGAAAACATGCAAGCTCACCGGCGAAAGCAGATACCGGAGATATCGACCCTGCTGGAGAAACCGGCGGCAATTCATTTTGGTTCCTTCGAGGCTTGACGATCATGATACTCCGAGTCACCCTTATCGAATCCTCCATCGAATCATCACTATAGGATCTTGGATTTCCAACGTCGGAATCTGCTCACAAACCGAGCAAACAATTCAAAAAGAAATTGAGATTCAATTTACTAATAATAAAATCCCTGGCCTGAAGAAGTTCATACAATATCGAACGGATCAAAACTTTCGAAAATGATTTATATTTCAAACTTCCATTCTGTCACGATAACCTCTTTTCCACAATTTATCCATTTGAAACCGCATACGAAAAGCATGCCTGTGTTAATTGTTAAAAGTTAAAGTTCCGTTCTTGAGATTGATTGATTATATACCACTTATGAATTGAACGTAAATGATTACATACGGACTGCTGAGAAATTTCAGTAACGAGTCAGATCAACTCTGCGAGGTTATGAAAATGATCAGAGTGTCTCCGGCATAAGATATTAACTAAGTCATACCCTTGCCGGAGCACGATCGGAAGCTAAAAGTGGAGTGTTTTCTGAGCTTTCCAAGGCCTGTATCCGGCCGGGGTCCAGCGACAGTTTCGTCCCAAAGCTGATCTAGCAAGACCATGGCGTATGTTAACGAGCCCGCGTACGTTAAGGGAGCAGCTTATTTGGTAACACCGGCGATAGACTAGTAAGGAAGGAACAAGAGGGAATAGGGATATTTAACGACGGATCGAGCATTAAAGGTCGAACAAGTCTCTGATAACGAGATTAATAAGGACCGTTGATGTGGATCTGAGATGACGTGGAGGTTAGATCAAAGAGCACGTAAAAAGATAAGAACGACGTGGGTGGACATTGAGGACTTGCATATTCTTCAACGAAAGTGACGCGTTGCTTATGGTAGGCGGATGCAAGGGCAATCCACTCAATGGGCCATGGCAAAAGCGTAAGGTCTGGAGAATCCTTCCTTTATTCACATTTTGAGAAAGAGTAATATTAAGTAGATTTAAAAATAAGATTAAAAAATTAAATTTAATAATTTTAATTATCGAATAAATAGTAAATTTTAATAAATGATAGAATTTATAATAAAATTAATAGTTATAATTATCAAGTTTAATTTTTAAGTATAATTTTTAAGTTTATGTAACACTATTTTTTGAGAACAAATTTTATTTAAGATTTACATAATTATGATATTGACTTGACACATTCATGCCCTTGGCTCTTAGCTGCCTTGTATTATGGGACGTAACAAAGAGAAATGTATTAGTATAATACCTCCAAATTTCATTATTTTTGTGAGTATGTATATAGTTTTTATAGATATTTTTATAAGAAAAAATTTTATTATTTTTACGGTTGAGTTAACACTTTTATGAATGAATTTTCACTTTTATAGATATTTTTATAATTTTCGCAATAACTATTTTTACTAATTTTTTTATACAAAAAAATTACTATTTGATGGTACCACAAAAATACCTAAGGTTGAGTTTAGTTACTTAGGTCATGCCACTCAGGTCAGTAGTTCACCCTTTTTGTATTATTTGCAGACTTCGACCTCAGATCTTAACTTCCTGTAATAACAGCTCGAGAAAGGTTGTGCAAAGGATAACTGAATCCCAACAAGTACCGCATTTTGTAGCAATAGTTGCTCAGCAGACACAAGTCTTGTAACCACCCCAGTATCCACTACAACCGTTGTACAATGAAGGCGACCGTTACAAGGAATGGGCGATGATCTCGCCTTATATCAAGCTAAGGCTCAAAGATAACTATAAATATGGGGCAAAACCCTCGAAAATGACAACAAGCCATTGTAGTCTCACCAAAAATAATTCTCTGTAAATTTTTCAGTAATCAATATATTCAGGATCAAGAGACTCCCTTGAGAGTGGATTAGTCAAACTCCCAATTTGGTGAACTACTATAAACGCTTTGTGTAATCACCCATCTATTCCTAAATCCTATTCACTAAAGTCTTGGAGCTTAGACTGAACTGTATCTAGCTGTTCAGACTGAACGATTGTTCCTGTTACAAATATACTGATTTTCTTCAGTAATTGATGATTTCTACATACAACATGAGCATAAGTAAGATGAATCCCCTATAGTTACAGAACTAGCAAGAAGTCACCAATAGAAGACAACAGGAAAATCTTCGTGATTTTTTGCCTATCGTTGAAACTGATCCTCCTATGGTGGATCCCCCCCTCCCAAATAACAAGTCCGAAGCTCTTCGCCTAGTTAACCATCGTCTCCTCCAATAGAATGAAAAGTTGGTGAATCTCCTTCAGCGTCCCCAGAAGGTGCAACTAGTCCAGGATGATCTCCCACTGGGGAACATAAATGCATCAACCCCCTAAGGAAGGTCACTGAAGGGGACGAACGTAGCCAAACTATGGGCAATGCCCATCGAGCCCCTAGGAACGAGAACTACAAGGAAGTACAAAGCCAGAATAGGGGAATTCATAGAAACAAACTGCCCCCCCATTTTCGGAGGAGATGCTTCAAGGATATTCAACAAGAGCTTGACCATTTGAAGGAGGCAAGACTCTAGTAACCATGGATGCCTTAGTTCAATAGATTGAATCTCCATTTATCGCACAAGTGCTACATTTCCCACTTCCACCAAAATTCAAGATGCCCTAGATGGAGGTCTTTGATGGGATGAAAGATCCCATGGATCACCTCAACACCAGCAAAAATCAAATAGAACTATATAGTTATCAAGACCCAGTATGATGTCGAGCCTTCGCCATCACCCTAAAGGGTTTAGCCCTAGTAGGGTTCAACAGACTGACCCAACATCCATCTCATCCTTCGGAGAGCTCTTCGTCTCTTTTGTTTCGCATTTCATAGGAGCTTGGACTTATCGAAAGCCAAGCTACCACATGTTAAACGTGAAACAGAGACCCAATGAGAACTCGCGAAGCTATGTTCAGATGTTTAACTTAGAATCTCTGAAAGTAGACATCCCTAACGAGAAATTTGTCATAACTGCCTTCATTGTTGGGCTGTGAGTCTAATCAAAGGACCTGATGTTCTCCATCTCCAAAAACCCATAAGCTAGTATGGAAACAATCCTTGCCAAGGCAGAAAAGTACATCAATGGCGAGGAAATGCTCCTTCCCAAGGTAGGGAGCTCATCTATGCACAAATAAAAGGAGAAAAATAGGGACCGAAATCCCAGAAAGGAGAGAAGTCGAGATAGATCTCCACAGAGAAACACATATCAATCTCTAAAAAGGAGAGGAGACATCAGAGACTGCCTAGGTCCACCTCCATAGGAGTTATAGCCAAGGTTTCCACCTTGGCAGTTCACTCATCTCACTGCGATGGCGTCCCAAGTCCTCTACGAGGTGCATACCTAGAAGTTTATGAGATGGTTGTTGCGAATAAAGGCAGATCCCACAAAATGGGATGCGACAAAATGCTGTGAGTATCACATAGACCATGGGCACCTGAAAGATGATTGTATCCAGCTGAAGAAGGAAATCGAGTTCTTAATCCAAGAGGGGCAACTGCGCTATTTGTAACACAAGACAATCAGAACTGAGCTCATCTACCTCCAGCACCTCAGCAACAAGTTCCTGTACATCACCAACAACCTTTGGGAGAAATTCGAGTAGTATCAGGAGGATTTGTTAGAGGTGGAGAATCTAGCTCAGCTAAGAAAGCCCATATGCGCAAAGTCCGAGCCACAGACATGCTAGAGGTACAGGCCATGTCCAAAGCAACACGGTTGAATATGGACATAACCTTCTCAGATACAGATCTGGAAGGTTGCCAACATCCCCACGATGATCCCTTGGTGGTAAGGGCAATCATCGTCAATAGAACAGTCCACTGAGTTCTAATCGACAATGGGAGCTCTCCAGACATCATCATCGTCGCATTTGCCTTCGACAAGATGGATATAGCAGAGACAAGCTCAAACCAGTAAGGACACTCCTATTGGGATACTCATAAGAGATGGTTATGCCCCTGGGCTCTACCCAGCTTGTCCTCACCATAGGAAACCCACATTGCCAATCCACTACCACAGTAAGAATCCTGGTGGTTGACGCCCCTTTAGCATAAAACGTTATGTTGGAGAGGTCTTCCCTTAATGCCATAAGGGTCATACCTTCTACTTACCACCTTGTAGTGAAATTTCCCACTGAGAATGGCATTGGGGTGGTCCGAGGAGACCAGGGAATGGCACAAGAGTACTACATGGGTCCATGAAAAAGAAAGAAGTCAAGACTATCCAGCGGACAAGCTTGACATGAGAGATGAGCTAGAAATGAGACCCACACCTTCAGAAGAGCTAGAACTGGTCCAACTTGATGAGGAATCATGACACTTGGTATATCTAGGATCGAAGCTGCAGAAAGAGGTCAAAGACCTCATTATTCAATTCCTCAGAAAGAATATGGAGGTCTTTGCATGGAAACAGAAGGGTATGCATGGGATAGACCCTTTGGTCATCACGTATAGGCTCAACGTGAACCTAACCTTCAAGCCCATCAAATAGAAACAGAGGAGTTTTGCCCTAGAACGCCAGAAAGTAATAAACGAGGTCTCCAAGCTCTCCATGCCAAGGTCATCAAGGAGGTAGATTAGCTAACCTGGCTAGCCAATATAGTCCTCGTAAAGAAGGCCCACGACAAATAAAGACTCTGCATAGATTTCACCGACCTAAATTGCGCCTGCTCCAAAGACAGCTTCCCACTTCCCAGAATTGATCTAATTTTGGATACCACAATAGGGCATGAGCTCCTGAGTTTCATGGACGCCTTTTCTAGTTATAACCAGATTAGGATGGATCCTAGCTACCAAGAAAAGACATCCTTCAAGGGGTTTACTACTACCAGGTCATGCCATTTGGGTTGAAGAACATTGGAGCCACTTACTAGCGTCTGGTGAATCAAATATTCCAGAAACAGATCGTCTAGTGATATCGATGAAAGTTGAGCTTCATATTAAACACCTCGAACAAACTTTCCAGATCCTCAAGAAGTACCAAATGAAACTCAACCTAGCCAAATTTTTCGACGACATGCAGGTGAAATCAGTGAAAGTTGAGATTCATATTAAACACCTCGAAAAAACCTTTTAGATCCTCAAGAAGTACCAAATGAAGCTTAACCCTGCCAAATGTGCTTTTGGGGTATCTGTAGGAAAGTTTCTAGGTTTCATAGTCAATAGTCGAGGAATAGAGGCTAACCCAAAGAAAGTTAGAGCTGTAATAAACATGCACCCACCCACAAACACAAGAGAGGTTCCATAACTAACTAGGAGGATAGCAACTTTGAGTCATTTTGTCTCTAGGTCAAGCGACAAATGCCAACCTTTCTCCCAGACTTTAAAAAAGACATTCCAATGGAACGCACAAATGCGAGGAGGTGTTCAAAGCTCTCAAATACTACCTCAGCTCTCCCCCAATATTAGTGAGCCCTAGAGAAGGAGATGTAAGGGGGGTAACACAACCTTGATCAGAGAACAAGATATAGCTCAACAACTAGTTTACTACTGTAGTAGAGCTCTAAGGGGGCAGAGATACCAGAAAGATGGAAAAAATAGTCTTAGCTTTGATAACCGTAGCTAGAAGGCTCATGCCTTACTTCTAGGCTC